TGTCCTATAAGTATACCTTTTTAAAATTTAGAAGTTAATTTTTTTTAATACAATATAAACCCAAGTTTGTAAGTATAATTAAATAGTGTGAAATATTTAAAGTTTGAACGTTTGCATCTGTTTGGCTCCCCACTTTATTCTAAAGTCTTGGCTTTTCCCCTGTAATGAGAGTTTAATCTGTATACTGAAGAGTTTGTGTGTGATGTGATTAGGAAAATAAAGAAATAATCTTTGCTTCAAAACAGGTTTCCCACAATTTGGACAGTGCCTAAACTTGCGCTTTAAAAGTGAGGATGGCAAGATTGGCACACTTACTTTGTACACATCATTAAGAAAGATCAATAGCTGGAAAAGAATTTCATGGTTTATAAAGTAGAGGGTCAACCAAAATGAAGAGAACTCACAATGAGATGAATTGACATGATAAGCATAACAGTAGAATATGCCAATGATCATGAAGATGGTGGATAAGGTTGTCATGAGTTGGAGTGAACTCCGAGGCCGGAAACAATGACAAACTTGCCACTATTAATAGATCACTTAGATTAAAATTTAAAAACTTCTGGTAACATATAAATGTATTAATCTCAGACAAATCCACCAAGTCAATATCATCTCTTTAACAATTTTAGACCAACCAACTCCAATTACTTCTGAAGTGTGTTTTTTTGAGGGTAGGAGTATGAGGTCAGCAAATAAAATTAAACTTAATCTGAATAAATCAGAAAAATAGTTTCCCAGGAGAATTACAAGAAATTCCGTTGTTTTCTGCTGATGTCATTAATCATCACATCTGATCATATATATTCCACTCATTGGATCATATATTCCATTTCAATTACTATTTTAATATAAATTTCCTTTTTTGTTTGTTTGTTTATAGAAGTAAGAAATGATCATTGTAGAAAATTTGGAACATATTGAACAATACAGAAGAAAATGAAGTAAATTATTCTTCTTACTTTTATTAGTGCAGTTTCCTCCTTTCCCCTCCCACCCAAAGTAACTTATTTTTAAATAACACAAATTTTAACTCCTATAATGATTTTGATACGTTTGCCTTAGTTTGCTTAACTGTGTATTTATAATGGAAATGTGAAATCATTTCACTTCATAACCATTAGTCAAAAATAATGATTTATGAATAGAAAATATTCCCTCATATTAATTTTTTTTTTTTTCCAATTTGAGTTATGAGTTTTGCTCTACTGAGTGTCTTCAGTCGCCAATTATGTTCTTGGTATAGATAACTAAAAGGGAATTTACTTGATCAAAATATACAAACAATATTATGGATATTGATAAATGTTGCTGAACTGCTTCCCACAGAGTAGTATCACAGTGTATGAGAGTGTGAGACAGATTACCTCATGGGACCATTAACATTAGTGAGCTGAAATGGCTGGTTTTGGACATTTTGAATCAGGCAACAATATGGTATATTGTTTCTGAGGGAGAAGAAATATACCAATTTGTCAAATTGAAGAGGAATGGCTTGACATTCATCATCACAAATAATTTTTCAAGATCTATCCTGAAGTACAATGCTGTCAGTGACAGGATAATATCCATACACCTATGAAAAAGACCAGTTATTATTATTGTTAGTCAAATTTATGCACTAACACTAAAAGCAAAGATGAGGAAATTAAAGATTTTTACCAATAGTCTGAAATTGACTGAACATGCAATCAAGATATGTTACTTATCAGTGGTGATTGGAATGGAAAAGTTGGAAACGAAGAATCACTGGTAGTTGGAAAATATGGCCTTGGTGATAGAAATAACACCAGAGATTACATGATAGAATTTTGCAAGACCAATGACTTATTCATTGCAAATACAGTTTTTCAACAACACAGTGGCTATATAAATGGACTTCACCAGACGGAGTACACAGGAATCAGATTGACTACATCTGTGGCAAGAGGTGATGGAGAAGATCAATATCTTCAGCCAGAAAACACCAAGAGCTTACTGTGGAACAGACCATCAACTACTCATATGCAAGTTCAAATTGAAGCTGAAGGCAACTTAACGAAGTCCATGATAACCAAAATATGACCTTGATTATATCCCTCCTGACTTTAGAGACTGTCTAAAGAATAGATTTAAAGAATTGACCACCAGTGACTGAAAACCAGAGGCATTGTGGGATGATATCAAAATATCATCTATGAAGAAAGCAAAAGGTCATTAAAAAGATGGGAAAGGAAGAAAAGACGACAATGGATATCAGAAGAGACTCTGAAACTTGCCCTTGAATGGAGAGTAGCTAAAGCAAATGGAAAAAAATGACAAGATGAAAGAACTGAACAGAAGATTTTAAAGAGCAGCTTGAGAATAAAATATGCAAAGACCTAGAGTTAGAAAATCAGAATGGAAGAATACACTCATTATTTCTCAAGATGAAAGAAATGAGGAAAAATTTAACCCTCAAAATGCAATATTAAAAGATTCCTTGGGCAATATGTTGAATGATGCAGGAAACATCAAAAGAAGATGGATGGAATACAATGTACCAAAACAAATTGGTAGATGATCATCTTCTTCAGGAGGTGGCATATGATCAAGAACCAGTGGTATTGAAGGAAGTAGTCAAAGCTGTACTGAAGGAATTGCCAAAGCACAAGACTCCGGGAATTGATGGAATACTCATTGAGATGTTTCAACAAATGGATCCTGCATTGGAGGCACTCACTTGGCTATGCCAAGAGATTTGGAAGACAGCTCTCTGGCCAACAGACCGGAAGAGATCCATATTTGTACCCATTCCAAAGAAATGTTATCCAACAGAATGAGGAAATTATCAAACAATATCATTAATATCACACAGAAGTAAAATTTTACTGAAGACAATACAAAATTGTTGCAGCAGTGTATTGACAGAGAACTTCCAGAAATGCAAGCTGGATTTAGAAGGGGGCGTGGAGCAAGAGATATCATAGCTGATGTTAGATGGATCTTGGCTGAAAGCAAAGAATACCAGAAAGATGTTTACTTGTGTTTTATTGACAATGCAAAGGCATTCAATTGTGTGGATCATAACAGATTGTGGATAACATTGAGAAGAGTGAGAATCCCAGAAAACTTATTTGTTGTCATGAGGAACCTGTAGATAGACCAGGAAGCTGTCATTCTAACAGAACAAGGGGATACTTCATGGTTTATAATCAGGAAGGGAATATGTCAGGGTTGTATCATTTCACCATACTTATTCAGTCTGTGTGCTAAGTAAATTATCCAAGAAGCTAGACTATATGAAGAAGAACATGGTATCAAGATTGGAGGAAGCCTCATTAATAACCTGAGATATGCAGATGACACAACTTTCCCTGCTGAAAGTGAGGATACTTGGAGCACTTACTGATGAAGATTAAAGACTACAACTTGCAGTATGGATTACATGTCAATATAAAAGAAACATAAATCCTCACAATGGCACCAATAAACAGCTTCAATATGGATGGAGAAAAGATTGAAGTTGTCAGGGATTTCATATTACTTGGTTCTACAATCAACACCAGTGGAAGCAGCAGTCAAGACATCAGATGACGTATTGCATTGGGCAAGTCTGTTGCAAAAGACCTTTTTCAAGTGATGAAGAGCAAAGATGTCTCCTTGGAGACTGAGGTGTGCCTAACCCAAGCCATGGTATTTTCAATCACGTCTTATGCATGTCAGAGCTGGACAATGAAAAAAGAAGAGTTGATGCTTTTGAGTTGTGGTGTTGGGGAAAAATGCTAAGAGTACCGAGGACTGTAGAAAGGACAAACAAATCTGTCCTGGGATAAGTGCAGCCAGAATGCTCCTTGGATGTGAGAATGGCCAGACTTCGTCCACCTACTTTGGTCTTGTTGTTGGAACCATTCTCTGGAGAAGGATGGCATGCTTGGTAAAGTGGAGGGTCAGCGAAGGAGGGTGTGGTGGTTATGTTTTTGTGTCAACTTGGCTAGGCCTGGTTGAGTGGCTGGGTGGCTGGAGGTAGTTTTCCCTGTGGTGAGACTGGTAATCATCAACTCCATGGTGGACTCTACTGTGAACAGCTGAGTAGCTGCCTTTGGGTATGTGGTCTGCTTCCTCTATCTAAGCAGAAACTTTGGGGAATGGTCTCTAGCTTATGGCGTGCTTGGACTCTGCATGTAGCTGTGTCATTGTTCAGCAGCCTCCCATGCTTTGCCGACCTTGGCACTTAAAATGGACTTGAATTAATGGCCTGCCGTGTGGATTGGTAACATCGGGACTGTGCCTTTTTACTTGTCAACTTTGGGCTTGGAAGCCTCAGCAACCAGTAGCTGTCTGAGTGAAGAAAAGCCTCTACCTTCAGTGGGTGGCAGGCAGGCTTTCACCCAGCCCCTAGAGCCTGGAACTTTGAACTTGGACTTAAAGTCTCCAGTTGTAAGAGAATAAACTCATGTTTGTTAAGGTCATGCCATTTGTCATATATTCTTGTCAGAGTGGCACTAGGTAACCAGAACAGAGGGGAAGACACTCAACAAGATGAATTGACATGGTGACTGCAGCAGTGGGCTCAGGTATAGTAGAAATTTTGAGGCTGGCAACAGGGCAGTGTTTTGTTCTGTTGTACATGTCTCTATGAGTCAGAGATGATTTGATGGCCCATAAAAACAACAACAACAACAACAACAACAAACAATGTGGTTTGTCCACTTTTCTGTTTTTATGTCTCTCTTTAATGAAAAAATATATAATATATATATATATATATATATATATATATATATATATTTTATGTAAAGAACTATAAAGTATTGACAACATCCTTTTACTGTGTAGCTTAAGAAATGAAAAAATCACCATAGGTCTTGCAGTTAGTTAGTAAGAGGAAATTCTTAGAGATAATAATCTAAGGATAATTAATGTTTTGGTTGAATTATCTCTTTTATTTAACTGAAAACGAAAAAGGAAGAAAGGTAAGTAAGAATAATTGATAAGTAGTTTTTACATTTATTTATTTATTTATTTTTAAGAAATAGCAGTTTGCCGGGAGGATTCCTACCACTCTGTTGTCTCGTGTGCTGCTGTGGTTCTCACTCCTATGGAACCAACAAAAGAAATGAAGAAAAGAGAAGAACTAAAATTTCCTGAGCCTTCCAAACAGTAAGTTATTTAGTTTTTTCAGAGCCCTGCAAAAATCAGTTATGTTATTCTCAGGATTATTTTGCTCAGAAATTGTGATTTAAGATGAATGTGTTAATATTAATATGTTGAAAGAACATATTAATAACCATATTTTGTGTAACTTTCTTTTAAAAAACCAGTCTATTCAAAATTGCCACAATAAATCACTTTTTGTCTCCTAACCTTGTATGTCTAAACCCAATATGTATTATTTGTTTCATTTTGTTACTTATGTTAGAGATATGGGTAAGTACACTGAAGCACTTGTTTTTCTTAGCACTGTGATTGTGGTTATATTGTTCTTGGATTGTTCATTTTATAATCCCAGGCTTTTATAAACTATCATCAGTTTTCATTATTACAAACTTCTTAGCCTAAAGTTCATTTGCTTCTTTATAAGGAAAAACAGTAGTTATTTTTAAATGTTTTTATTCTAAATGAAATTATACAATATTTAATATTTCTATATTAATATTGAATTTAAACAATTCAAGGTATCATTTAAATTTGATTAAGTAAATCATAGATTTTTATGCTTATAATGCACAATTAAGAATTAAATTAATGGTAACAAAAGTAAAATGCATAGACTTGCAGTATCAAGCTAAGATTATGTTTAGTTATACATTAAATAAAAGTAAAGGAAAAACATACTGATGATTTTCCTGTGAAAATGATTCTGTGCCTGCTGTAAGGTCTCAGATTGGAGACTAGATGAGGTATAAGTGGTGCTACGAAATGTTGGCTGATCACCATCTAAACAAAATGAGGGCTGACTTGATGACTTACAGTATTTTCCCCACTGAATTACACTGTATCAAAATTGTTTCTTGAAAGTTTATGTAGAGATAATAAACAGAGTGGACAAAATTTCCTGGAGAATAATGGTGCTTGATACTCTTTGTGAAGTCAATTAGAAAGCTCATTAATATTATACTCAATAATGTTGAATTCAAATAGAGCAATGTTTATATACTTGATTGCATGAAAATATGCAGTATTAATGTTCTCATTATAGAGAAAAATATTAAAATCAAAAATGATGATTATACTTCAATTTTAAAACACATTAAAAGTGGAAAAAGTTAAGGGCTGTTAATGTAGTCTAATTTCTAGATTCGCAAAGCTATGTTTGACTAATAGGAGAAGAATTATATTTCATATTTTCCAACTGAATTTTATTAGACAATGCAAAGGTGTTTTCCTGCAGTAACTATGAGTTTCCATGTGCTACCTACATAGTTGTAAATTGAATCTTAAATTCTTTTTAATTATCTTTCAGTTGAACAAAATTTGTGAATAGTGTTATTTGCTTACATACAATGTCTTTTTTGAAACTTTCACTACTTTATAAATATTGATTATTTTTCATTCTGGAAGATATATTAAAGCAGACAGTGTTTGTTAACTGGTGATTCTTTTTCTTCCTGTCACCCTAGTTCCAATGTGAAACTCTTTGGTATTCTACAAATCTACTTTCTTATTTAACATTATCCATCAATAATATTATTAATTCAACACTGAGGAGAAAATAATAATATATGAATGTAGGTTTTGTTTTTATTTTATTTTGTTTTGAGTGAGATACCTGATTAAAATTTTAATTCTGCTACATATTTATTAAAATTATGGACACTTCATTTATGCTCTCTGAACTTTACTTTCCTCATCTGTTAAGTAAGATGATATCACACCCTTATTGTATTGTTATGTGGGGTATTATGTGAAATGAGGGAGCTCTGGTAGCTTAATGGCTAAGGCACCTGACTGCTAACCAGAAGGCTGGCGGTTCAAACCCACGAGCCACTCCTCGGAAGGAAGATGGGGCAATCTACTTCCTTAGTGATACTGCCTCGGAAACCCAAGGAGGGGTTGCTATGAGTTGGGTCTGACTCGACGGCACATAACAACAACAACAACAACAACAACATGTGAGATGATATTGGTAGAAGACCTGAAATCTGTTAATCTTCAAAAGTGTTAGTGTGTGCGCCTCTTTTCATAGCATTATGAATTCAACTATTAGCATTACAGATGACTTACAGATATATACTCCTTTCCTGAAGGCTCTTCTAAATGCATCTAATACTTAAAGTTACTCAACAGATTTGTCTAACAAGATGTCCTATGAGAATTTCTCGTGTTGGTTGTTAGGTGCCATTGAGTTGATTTTGACTCAGCACCCGTGTATACAACGGAGTAAAACACTGCTTAGACCTGTGCCATATTCACAATCCTTGCTGTGCTTGAGCCCATCCTTGCAGCCATTGTGTCAATCCATCTCATGAATGGTCTTCCCCTTTTTCTCTGACTCTCCACTTTACAAAGCATGATATCCTTCTCCAGGGGCTGGTCCCTTCTGACCACATGACCAAAGTAGGTAAGAAAAATTCTGGCCATTCTTGCTCATAAGGTGCATTCTGGCTGCACTTCTTCCTGGATAGATTTGCTTGTTGAATCTCACATTAAGTATGTCTAAAACCACCTAATAACAACGACAAAACCAAATTATCTTCTCTAGCCTCCTTAAACATTAGAGTCTTTCAGATTTACTTATCTTTGTAAAAGCCAAAACCAAATCCATTGCTGTTGAGTTGATTTTAACTCATACAGACCATATGGGACAGGGTAGAATTTTCCCATAGGACTTCCAAGCCTGTGAATCTTTATGGAAGCAGACATCTTTATGGGAGACATCTTTCTCCCTTATAGTAACTTGAGGGTTCAAACCGCTGACCTTTTGGTTAGCAGCCAGCTCTTACCATTGTGCCACCGTAGCTCCTTATTTATGTCATTATTTTTCTTTATTTAAAATTGTGGTATATTTCTTATATCATATCATATTCAATCAGTTATTGTTCACTTATTTACTGTTTCTGTTATACAGATCTTACCATTTGAAATGATAAGGAAGACATACACATCTCATATTTATTAAAATGTTTATATCATATATCCTTAGTTGTGATCTTAATGGATTCATTCAAATAGTGGTCATATATCAAATGGAGACTGTATATGTCTCATATATCTCATACCATTTTGTTAAAAATTAAATTGCTGTTGTGACTATGTCGAAAGAATCCAATATAAAGGTACAGTTATTAATGCAAAACTCTTATTTGCCAATGAGAAAACTGGTTTCAGAAATATCAAGGTGATAGTGGCTTTAAATATTATAATTAAAAAGTCTAGAAATGAAATTTTTCTTAAATACATATAGATCTTGTACTCAAATGATGTTACCACAGGCCAGTCCCTCTATCTCCATCTGTTTGATGTGCTTTTCTTTCAGTTGTTTCCATTTTCATGGAAGATCCTCTAATGGTGATCTGACTTCCCTTGTAGTAGCTGGGATGGATTTCTATCTTAACATATCCAATGGAAAGAGATGGTTACTATTATTTAAAAAAAGGAAACACTTCTGATTTGAATGTAATTGGCTTTGACTTACTTTGCTTGATAGAACTATCCTGAAGCACTTGCTTTGCCCAAGAGTATGATGATGTTATTGGCTAAAACTCTGTCACAGGGTAAAATCTGGAGTTGAGGATGAAGTTGAGAGGGAAAGACAATTCCACACATGAAATCTTGGTGTTATTGATAAAAAGAAGGTGAAGGTAGAGTTTTAGAAATCAAACAATGATTATTCACTATAGGTAGTTATACTGTCAATATTAATTTTAAATTTTAGAATTTCTTTATTAAATTTAAATTATAGGCATTGAAATAATATGTTAAAAATACTATATCTATATCATTTTTCTTGTTTTAAGTGACTTTTTACATGCTTAATTTTATTTCACTTGCTATGTGGCATGATCCAAAATGAGAATAAAGAGCTGCCAACATCCATTAATAATTGCAATGTGTAATATATGAAATATGAATCTAGGATAATTGGAAATTGTCAAAAATGAATCTTTCCAGGAGACCACCTCAAGAATAGATGTGATGCATTGACATTAATGACTGAAGACCATCCTCAAGTTGTGGGATGACATCAAGGACATCATGAAGCCAAAATATCATTAAAAAGGCAGGAAAGAAAGAAAAGACCAAAATGAATGTCAGAAGAGACTCTAAAACTTGCTCTTGAATGTGGAATAGGTAAAGTGAAAGTAAGAAATGATTAAATAAAAGAGCTTAACTTATTTCAAATGCTGGCTTGAGATGACAAAGTAAAGTATTATAATGAAGTGTGCAGAGACCAGAATTAGAAAACAAAAAGATTAGGACATGCTCAGCATTTCTCAAGCTGAAAGAAGTGTAGAAAAATTCAAGGCTTGAGTTATAATATTGAAGAGTTCTGTGAGAAAAAATTTGAACTATTCAGGAAGCATGAAAAGAAGATGGAAGGAATACAGAGTCAGTGTACTAAAAAGAACTGATTAACTTTCAGCTGTATCAGAAGATAGCAGATAAACAAGAACCGACTTTATTGAAGGAAGAAGTTCAAGCTACAGTTAAGGTATTGGCAAAAAACAAGCCTTCAGGAGTTGACGGAATATCAGTTTTGATTCTTCAGCATATGAATGCACTGCTAGAAGCTTCAGTGGTCTATGCCAAGAAATTTGGAAGACAGTTGCCTAGCCAATAGACTTGGAGAGATGCATATTTGTTTCCATTCCAAATAAAGGTGATCCAATAGAATGAGGAAATTGTTGAATAATATCATACACAAGTAAAATTTTGCTGACAATAATTAAAAATGGTTGTAGCAGGAACTACCAGAAATTTAAGCTGGAATCAAAAGAGGACATGGAACAAGGATATCATCGCTGATAGAAGATGAATCTTGGCTAAAACCAAAAAGATGTTTACCTGTATTTTACTGACTATACAAAGGCATTTGTGTGGTTCATACCAAATTATGGATAAGATTATGAAGGATAGGAATTCCAGAACACTTAATTGTGCTAATATGGAACTTATACATAGACCAAGAGGCAGTCATTTGAATAACACAAGGGAATATT